CGCCGCCGCCAGCGGCGGCGCCGTCGCCGGAGCACGGCAGAGCCGCCGTGCCGGAGTTGCGATTTGGTTCGAAAGGGGCCCTGGGCCTAATTTGGATTTTTTTTTGGAACACGTGCAGGTACTGTTAGTGTGTTTCAGTTCCCCGGGAAAAATTCAGGGAAAATTAGGGACAGCCTGCAGGCGCACTGTGAATCGTATTCGGATCTCGAAAACAAGTAAGGACCCCTCACCCTATTTCCTATCACGGTATTAAAGTTCAAAATGATAAAACGGTATTTCTTGAATTAACGCATGTGTGAAATTGCTTAAGGTTGCTAATGGAGTCCGAGTCTAGTGTGATTGGTGATTTACTGTTATTTGGCCTGTTTACAGCTTTAAATGCAAAATGAGGTTTGATGTGTTCATTTTACAGATTTGTGTGCATATACTACGTTTTTATTAATCATGGGTTGAATGACTGAAAAACTGATACTGTATGTTGTCTGTTTGGCATGAATTACTGTTTGCTTGTTTGTATGTTAATTGATGATGCTGATTGAGGAAAAGGAAAATGAAAGATTGTGTAGACTGATAATTGTATTATGGGGGTCAGCCTGACTAGATATCCTGGGAGATGGTGGACGGACCGGGTCCGTAGGGAACCCTACCGGGATTGTGGTCTCACATGCCGGACGGGGTATGGAGATCTTATGGTTTTGGCGCCCATACCGGACGGGGTATGGGGACGGCCCGTTTCACCCTCATGCCGGACGGGGTATTGAGGTTTATGGTTTTGGTGCCCATACCGGACGGGGTATGGGGACGGTCCTGGAAACTGATTATGAATGTTAAAGGTTAACGGGTAGCGAAACCCCTATGGACCCCCACGGATACTAGTAGGCTGGTAAATGAGAAAAAGATATGTTGTACAATGATTGAATTACAAGAGGTGTGATAAGTGTTATGTTTTACAGCTTAGATTATTCAATGATTATGATGATGTTATTGTTTTTCTCATATTGTTTTCATAAATTCCACCAAGGTAAGTGGATGGTAAAGGTTTTCATGTTAATAAACGAGTTTGTTGTAAATTATGCTCCATTGGTCTTTTTGTGTTTTTCTACCCACCTTTATCTCCGTGACGGTGAGATATCGTGATGTTCTTACTGGGCTAGTGTAGCTCACTCCTTAATTAACCATTTCAGATCAGGAAGACATGGTTCCCGAGCCCGTTCCGCGGGAGGACGACAAAGGGGATGCCTAGAGACTCTGTAGTCATACGCATAGTTTATTTTCGAGTTTTCTTTCTTAGTTAGTTTAATCTTTTATATTTTAAGTACGTTTGTTTGGTTTTTTTCGTGTAAGGGATGTTAACTGAAATTTTGATCTCGCTTCCGCATTCGATATATTTAAATACTCATTTCATTTTAATATTTTCCGGGGCTGTTACTGTTTACATCTCTTTATTTGGCAGGCTTGGGTCAATTAAATCTCTCTTTCTCACGTTGTTCTCATTGTTTGTTAATCAGCAAAACATAAAATCTAATTTACACCTCTAATTATGGTGCATTGATTAAGACTTTGAAGAATGAGAGTGACTATTAAAACAATTATAAAATTAATTTATGCACGTATGCATACATATATACATATACCCCGACTATTATAATTCTATTTGACAATATGCATACATATATACATATACACCCACTATTATAATGATTTATTATTTTATATAATGTAATTTTTTAAATATAATTTTGTGATTTTTTTTAAAAAAACTTTTCTCCCATTTTTGTTTATATATATTTTTTCAGTTCTCAAAATATTTGATTTAGAAGTTAATAAAAAAAAATTATTATTTGTTTCGAAATGGGTTTTGTATATTTTATTTTATTTTTATTATTTACAATTTAAACCCATTAATTATATTCAATTAAACTTTAAAAATTTTATATTTACTCATAGACCAATATAAAATTCAATTATTCCATAATCAATTATTTTATTTGAAGAGTAATTTGGGTGGGTATATGTATATGTATATACATACATATTCTAAGTATATCCTATAGTTCTCAATACATAAATTTATAAATATAATTATTTATACACTAATCCAATATTTTGTCATGCATCAAGCCAAATATTTATTTTTTATTAAAAAAATTAACTTAAGAAAACAAAAGATCACCCACCTCTCTTTTGCAAAAAAGATTCGAAAGCGATGGGAATAATTATAAAATTTATATAATATAACCCTAAGATTCTTGATTATTATTATTAATATTGTTATTAAAATTATAATTATATTAATCGAATTTTTTTTTTTTAATGGGTCCTCTTGAACACTCGATCTTGATTGACTTAAACGAATTATTAAATAGTTTAGGATTGTTTCCTTAATGGGAGCTAATAAGAAAACTGTTAGGCATTTGATTACTTAATAATTTTTTCTCTCAATCTAATTATTATATACATATATATATATATGTATATATATGTAAGTATATGTATTTCTAACTCTATGGCCCATAAAGGAGCAAACCATCACCTAACTATATGACCCATTAGGGAGTTGATTAATCACTCTTTGAACATGTTACGACCCTCATTCACCAAATTGTAAATTTGTAATTTTTTTTCATACCTTGAATATTTAAATCTATTTTTAAAAATATTTTTATGACTAAAAATTATAAAATATATAGCACGAGCGCGAAAAAATGTGTTATTAAAATAATTCAATTAAAATTTTAGTTATATAAAAAATATGTTTATTATGCGAAACTTAGAAAAAAAAATTAAATATAATTTGATCATCGTAATCTTATCAATACATTAGTAAATTAAACTAAGATTTTACTTCTAAAATTTAATATGAAAAAAATTAAAGTGATTTGAATGTAAAAATTATAATTAAACTATAACTATGAGTGTCAATATAGAAGTGTACAAACTGAAATAACATATCATATATATATATATATATTCATATTCATATATATAGTAAAATCCCATCATACCCACCACATGAAATAATGGAGCCTCATTTGAATAAGTAAAATAGAAGGCTTTACAAGTTTGAACTTACAATTAATGTCCATTTTAAGCACTATCATCTACATTAGTCCCTCCTATATACATACACCAAAACATATAAAATTAACTAAATAATTTTTTATTAATACCCATTTTAAGCACCATTAATCTATATTAGTGCTTCATCTATACATACACCAATATAATATAAAATCAACTAAATATATATAGTTTAAAATTTAAAATTAACTAAAATTTGATACAACTATATCAACATTTTTATACACTCAACACCATTAGGAAGATTTACTACTGCCTCCAAATGCTTCCAAATTTCAATAGTCATGGATTTTGTGTCACCATCAATAGTTCCAAAGTTTTGGATCTATTAAAATTTGTTATTTGTATTTCCTTTTTTTGGCCTTCTCTCTTGATGGGTAGATCTATATGTATATAGATATATAGATATATGTTTACCAACTTACAATTTGGTAAGTATTTTAGTATATATATATATATATGTATATGTAAATATTGCTGCCCAAAAGAATATACATACACATTATCATGAATGAAGATTGAAACTGAGACAGGGGTATTTTCGTCCTTTTAGGGACTTTTTAGAAAACCTTGGATCCCCATCCGCGTCACAACTTTCTCCACCGACCCAATAATAAACTTAATTTCCAAAAATACCCTTACTTCGCCTCAGCCCTCACAAAACGTTGCGTTTTAATTCGAGCGAGAATCGAATCATGAATACTTTTGGCGATAATGATTAATGACCGTTTGATTTATTGACCACGTTTTGATTTGGTGGGGTAGGCTACCGTCTATTGCCTCAGGATAACGTTGGGCTACATGATTGATGTCGACCGTAGATCTACTATTTTTTGAGAATATTTTGATTTTTTTTTTCAAAGAGAAAATATTGGGTTGGACCCACTTACCTTCCAAAATTTAATTTCGGGGCCTGATGGGCGATTGGCTTATCTTAACCGTTCATTCTGTCTAATCATGATGGAGAGTACAATGATAATGTTCAAGCAGATCTTCTGCCAAAAGGCGGAGATCTACGCGGCTAGTTCGTAGGACCCATTAACCCACAACGCCACCATGGCCGTTCCCCACGTTGATATATATATATATATATATAAATCTTAAAACTACGAAATATACATATACTACATATGTGTATATATATATATATATGAAATTTCCTTTAAAAAAAAAAATTAAAAAATATTAGTTCGGGAGTTAATATAATCCACTAAATTTTTTTGATAATTTTAAAATATTTATTTCAAAATAATCGTAATAAATCAAAATTCAACTTAATAATTATAATTTTATTAATATATATTTGAATTTGAGATAAATTATACTCTAATGTATGAGTATTTATTTAGAGATTATTTTAATTATTTATGATTAATATATATAATATAATTAATGAATTTATTAAAATATATATGCTTTTCAATATGTCCCTTTAAACATCCATTAGTTTTTTATTTAAAAAAAAAAACAATAAACAGCCAACGCTGTAGCTTGCAGTTGTACTACCATTTCAAGACAGGGATACGCACGTCATTATCACTTTTCTCATGTCCCTTTTTGTAATTTCATTCCTCCCTCAAAAGAACCCCTTCCCTTCTCCCTTTGATTCCTTCCACCATTGCCACCACTCAACTCCCCACTCTACACTCACTCTCTCTCTCTCTCTCTCTCTCTCTCACGCACACACACTCTCCCTGCACATCCTAACTGCACACACAGACACACACATACACACTCTCTCTTTCTCTCTCTCTCTCTCTCTTTCTGTACAATAAGGTTACGAGCTAGCCAAGCCAGAAGGTGAATTAATCCCTGACAAGAAAAAATGGGTACCCGAATTCAGTCGCATCAACTGAGTAATGGCTTGTTGGTATCGGGGCGACCCGAGCAGCTGAAGGAGAGGCCGCCGACAATGGGGTCAAGGGCAGTGCCGTACACCGGCGGTGACGTTAAGAAATCCGGGGAGCTGGGGAAGATGTTCGACATCCCAGTTCTTGATCACTCCTCGTCCACCGGTCTTCCTTTACCCCCTCACAGGCAGCCCTCTCGCACCTCCTCCGCTTCATCATCACAACCCAACAGCGGATCCGTCCGATCCGGGCCGAACTCCGGCCCTATGAAGAAGTCCTCCGGCCCGATTCCGCAGCTTCAGCCTACTGGCCTCATCATCTCCGGCCCACTCGGTTCGTCCGGCCCGATGGGTCCCGGTTCTAGGAGGTCGGGTCAGCTGGACCATGTCGCTGGTTCCGGGTCGGGTAAGGCTACATACGGGTCCGCCGTGACCAGCCTTGGAGATGAGGTGAGGGTTGGGTTCAGGATCTCGAAGGCAGTGGTGTGGGTGGTGATGGTGGTGGTGACGATGGCACTTCTTGTTGGTGCGTTCCTGATGGTGGCTGTGAAGAAGGTGGTGGTTCTGGTGGTGGTAGCGGGGATTGTGGGACCGGCCGCCATGGGACTCGTCTGGAACTGCGTCTGGGGCAGGAGAGGGTTGTTAGGGTTCGTGAGTAGGTACCCAGATGCCGAGCTTAGAGGCGCCATTGATGGACAGTTCGTTAAAGTAACTGGGGTAATTTTACTAACTTCCCTAACCTTCTTCTTCTTCATTCATCTGTATCTGTTGACTGTTATATTCTGTATACAGATTAATTTAATTATACACCAATATTTTTTGTTAACTGAAATGGTGAAAATGGGTTCAATAGATATTCATATCTGAATCTGAAAGCTGTGTTTTTTTGTAGATCTAGAATCACTGATCAGTCATCAATGGCTGCTGGTTAGAGAAAATGTGGTTGTTTATAAACTGTAGTTGGTTTTATGGAACTTCTTATCAGAAGTGATAATCTTTTGTGGCTTATTGTAGGTTGTAACATGTGGGAGTATTCCATTAGAGTCATCTTACCAGAGGGTGCCTAGATGTGTATATGTATCGACTGAATTGTATGAATATAGAGGATGTGGTGGTAAGACTGCAAATCTGAAACACCGATGCTTCTCGTGGGGATTAAGGCATTCCGAGGTTAGTTTCTTTAACCGTTGATGCTAAAATACATGTTAAGTAATTGATCGATGAAGGATTATATTAGTCTACTAGATCCTGTTTCATAGTCAAAATGCTTTTCACACCGCCTATTTTGTTATACGATCGTTGAGCCATCTTTATGTGTAACTGATCAATGTTTCTCGTGTTCTTGGAGACTTGTTGAAACTTGTGTTATATCAGAAGAGAGTGACTCCTCCTGGTTAGAATTGCAATGTCTAATTTTCTTTTTTGTGTGGATAGAAATACGTGGCTGATTTTTACATATCAGACTTCCAATCTGGGTTGCGAGCATTGGTGAAAGCAGGCTATGGAGCCAAGGTTTCGCCATTTGTCAAACCCGCTACTGTTGTTGATGTCACAAAGGAAAAACGAGACTTGTCTCCGAGCTTTTTACGCTGGCTTGCTGAGCGCAACCTCTCTGGTGATGATCGTGTAATGCGTCTCAAAGAAGGGTATGCGTTTCTAATTTTGGATCAATGGTTCATTCCCTTAACATATCTGGTGTTCCTTATTGCTAGGGCTAAGTTCTAAGTTCCTCTAATTATATGCATCAGTTATATCAAGGAAGGGAGCACCGTAAGCGTGATGGGAATTGTACGACGCCATGATAATGTGCTCATGATTGTTTCACCTTCTGAACCTGTCTCAACGGGCTGTCAATGGACGCGTTGCCTCCTCCCAACCTATGTCGAAGGCCTGATCTTGACGTGCGATGACAATCAAAATGCAGATGTTATTCCAGTGTAGATAACATATTTCCTCTGTATTTTTTCGTTTGCAAATGAATATAACTAGTAAATACTGGAGGAGATAGTAAAGGACAAAAGAGAGAGGAAGCCAATGCTACCTCGGGTTTTCTCCTTTCAAGGTCTCGAGATGCTGTGCAGCTCGAAGATGCAGAGCAGGAAAGCCTGGAGAGGTAAGAATAGTGGTATGGTTATTTACCATAATCTACTGAAGAAATTATTAGGCTATGGGGAATTCTAAAAAAGGGTTACCCCCTTGCAAGCTGGAGAAATGTTATATTAAGATTCTGCTCAATTTGGTTTTTGGGTATGTACATATGCTGCAGAGGAAACCCTAAGGGGTTCATAGTTGGTTGTTTTGGATGTAAATGAATTATCAGTAATCAGTATTTATCAACTCTACGTTTGGCTTACAATACGAGTATCTCCTTTGAAGATCTCATCTGTTGTAACAGTGATATTTTAGAGGAAATCTAGAATTATCCGTATATACATGTATATATATCACAACTGTATCGAACAGCTCAGAATCTGTTTATTAGTTAAATAAACGAATCTGAAGAAAAGGGAGTCCTCAAAGCTTGAAAAATGTGGGGGAATATTTTGATTTATTTGATATTCATTCCCTAATAAGGTGCCATCTATCAGAGGAAATCATACCATACATGAGGGTTAGAAAGGATAAATTATTTGTAGGCTCTCTCTCTCTCTCTCTATATATATATATATATATGTCTTGTTTCTATACGAAAAAACAAGGAAGGTAAACTAGAGTCTAGAGGGCAGCCTCCAGCCAAGAAGGCAGTAGCAGCAGCCATGTCTTCTGTGGTTCCAAGCTTGTTGAGTAAAGTCATCTTTGCAAGAGCTTTCCTCTGCAAAATATAGTTCTAATTCAAGACCAGCCTGCAAGAAAATCACAAAGTACAACACAACATAAAGGGGAGACTTTGAAATGTGCTTACCGATAACTTCATCGCTAGTAATGGACTTAGTGAAGTGCGTTGGCACAAAACCAGGAGCAACACAGTTTACACGTATATCTGGAGCCATCTCCAGAGCAAGAGCCTGAATCATAAAAAGCAGAAATAAACACGTGATCTTGACCAAGCATAAATAAATGGTGAGGACCCAGGTACTTACTTTGGTGAGGCCTAGAAGAGCAGTTTTGGTCACACCATACAATCCCATGGAAGGTTGAGGTAGAAATCCAGCAATGGAGGAAATGAAAATAATTGAAGAACCCTTCGGCATGTGAGGAACTGCATCCTGGCAAACAATACAAAAGATGGCAAAAACTTCAGCTATTCGGTTTTTGTTAATATACGAAGTACTTAATACTATCCACATTGTGGTCTACCCAGTTGCTAGGTTAACTGATGGAAATAATAATGTATTCCGCAATGTGGACCACAGTTACAAAATTCCAAACACAGCCAAATGATGCTGAGAAATTATTCCTTGTAATGGTTATATACTGATATACTATTACATTTCAGTTAATAGCTTAGTAGAAATTTGATTTGGTCAATAAAATTTATGGCGCAAAATTTTTATGAAGTTAATAGAAAATGTAATAACATATGAATGTGTGCCTATTTACAACATAATTCAATGGTAAACAATAACAGCTAGATATATAGATTATCATGAAAGCCATTTCAAGAAATTACCTTCAATAGAAGTATAGATGATTTGATGTTAATCTCCCATAGCTTGTCAAGGACAGACTCTTGGATATGCAAAATGTTACCAGCAGATGGATTGACAGCAGCATTACATATAACAACATCTATCTTTCTGTATTTCTGAGATCAAACAGCAAGATTCAGTCAATTGCTACCAACCAAATCATAAGCAATAAAGCAACAATCCCTTAGTTGAAAAGTTGTTATTTTATCCCTCTGGATGAAGATGGTTCAAGCGGGACTGTGCATCTCGTCTGTTCTTGTATGGGTATCACCTTGAAATGTATAATTTTTACTTAAAAAAAACACAAAAACATAAACACTACAGAAATACTGGCAAAAGCAACTATAAACACAAAAATAATTTGGTTGAAGGATGCGAGAAATGAACATTTTAGTTCACTAATAACCCATTGTGCAGTTGCCTCAAAAGTTGAAGGTCACTGTTGATTTGAAGACAAAACTTGGTTTACTCATAAGCCATTTTTTAAGAGTTCTGCTCAGTAGAACCTTCTTCCATTATTCACAAATATCGAAACAACAGCAATGGCATGAAAGAAAGAAAGAACAATAGATAAAAACAATCAAGATTGTCTGATTAATAAGCATGTCCAATTTCACAGGCATAACAATCAAGCACCACATTTAAGATTTCCCTCTTGATATTCTTCCTATATCTCTCTTTTTTGTTGGACTTAGCAATAAGGTACGTTTAGTTAACTTTTATGCAGTTATACTGAGTTTCACATGATTATATTCACGGAACACTTTTCCACTTCTGTCCAATGCATTCAAAATTTTATTATTGAAACGATACCTAGAAAAATTGAACCGAAACCCCAGCAAAGAACAATTTTTTTTCCGACTGTAAGAATCTTTATCATTATTCAGACATACTTTTCAACCATATTACCACCAAAATCCATCAAATTACTTATTTATCATGGACCTAAATAGGAAAAAAGATAAAAGGTAAAACTTAAATTTCTCACCTTAAGGGTTTTTTTCAATCAGAGTCTTCCTCTGTTGAGCATTTGCCACATGACAAACCACTCCAAACATTTCAATTCCTTGAGCTTTCAGTTTTTGAGCAGCCTCATCAATATTTTTCTGGCAGATACCAAAATTTGTAAACAGAAGTAAAAAAGTAATATCAAACCAATTTTTTTTTTTTTTGTAGAATATCAAACCATTTTTTGGTTTGCTTAACAATTACTATATTCTCAAATTCTCAAACTCCATTTCATGAAAATAGAATCAGCTTTCCTTCCACACGGCCAAGGTTTTACAATTTTACTTCCATGTCAATGTTCTTATCATTCAACAGTTTTGTCACTAACAATAACATAACATATTAGTTCAGCTAATAAAGCAACCTATAACACTAAAGATTCACTTTCTATTCCAGTTTCTTCATTTCCTACGCTTTCTAACCAACCAAACAGAAACGAGAACCTCAAATCGAGCAAAATTTCAGGAATTCAAGTGTCAAAATCAGCAGAAAAAAAAGTTACAATCGAGACTTGAAAGACAACCGTAATACCTGCTTGCGCGATGACAACAGAGGCGCCTTCCGAGCCGAGACGCTGCGCTATGGCGAAACCGATCCCCTGAGTCGACGCCGTCACAATCGCCACCTTGCCTTCAAATCTCCTCCCAATCTTCGTCTTCTCCATTTTGGATTTATCTGCTATAAGTTAACAGCACCCTATCTCGATACTTTCAATGACAAAGAGGATTGGTTTTAAGTTCTTTTTCCATTCCCTAGTTCGTACCATTACAGTGCTTCAAGGTCGAGAGCTCAGAATACTTCAATTTTCTGTCTGTATCTTTTTTTTTTCTTTCCTTTTATTTTTGTTTCTAATTGCATTTACTTTTTTCAAAAAACCCATAAACTTCGATTAACGTCAGGAAGTAAAGATAATTACTTTAATAAAATTATAATTAATTTTATTACATTTATACTTTCCAATCTTATTAATTATTTCTAAAATTAATATCTCATATTTTTTCCCCTTTAAATTTGATTTTATTTTTTATTTATAGGTTTTTTTATTTATCAATAATATTATTCTATTGAAAAATTATTTGTTCATATTATTAAAATTCCATGAAAAAATTGTTAAAGAAGTAACTTATAATCATATAATTATAAAATAATAACATAAGAAAAATTCAACTTATCAAAATCAAAAGATTGATGTGTATGATAAAAGAGAAAAACCCAAGAAATATTGTGTAAAAAAGAATTTAAAAAGTATAATTTCCATCAATGAAAAGATTAATTTATTAAAAGCAATAAAACTAATTATAATTATACACAAACATAAAAATATATTATAATATAACCTTAAATTTAGCAAGAATTCAATCTAATAGTTCCAAAATAAAATTACAACTTAATCCAATAGTTAATGAAGAAGAAACATCTCTTCATACATGTAAATTTTATATTTATACATATATTTTTTATATTAATATCAACCAACAACTGTAGAATTTCATATAAAACAGAAAGAAATAGTGGGAAAGTATTTTGTATTATTGGTAAAGGATTTCAAGACACATCTGGTTCTTTCAGGAAATTATACTATAAGTCCCTCTCTCTCTCTCTCTCTATATATATATATATATACATGTATATATATATATGTATATATAAAGCAAAAGAGGGTAAACAAGAGAAGATAAAAAATTATTTGTAGGTTCTCTTAAAAAAAATAAACTAGAGTCTAGAGGGCATGCCTCCTGAAACCACCAAAGTTTCTCCAGTGATGTAAGAGGCATCATCAGAAGCCAAGAAAGCAGTAGCAGCAGCAATTTCCTCAGTGGTTCCAAGCCTCTTGAGCAAAGTCAAACCCTCAATAGCCACTTTCTGCATATGGGTGTTTATACGTATATACATAAATTTCCAATTCAAGATCAGATTATAACAAAAAATGACAAGTCACAAGCAGTCAGTCAATCACAGACTTGTTGAGCCTCAAAATCCGCTTACCACATCATTATTGGTAGTTAGGTATGAAGCAAAATGTGTTGGCACAGTTCCGGGAGCAACACAGTTAACGCGAATATCTGGGGCCATTTCGAGCGCAAGGGCCTGAATGATGATCAAGAAAGAAGATTAACACACATAAAAATCATGCCCTCAGGCATTCATGACAACAGAATTAACGCTAACTATAAGTTGCTTCAGGAGTTCTAGTAAATTAGAAAATTCTACGGATGTGACTGATTTATTTTAAATCTTTATAAGACGATTATGCAGCAAGAAAGTGAACCAATCATCTATTGAATCTTCAAATTCATCTGTAGTTTGACGCAATTTATAGATTTTTTCAAAATTGAAATGGATACATGACATGAGTGCACGCACCTACTTTTGTTAGCCCAACAAGAGCAGTCTTTGTCACTCCATACATAGTCAGGGAAGGCTGCGGTAAAAATGCAGACATGGACGAAATGAAAATAATTGAAGAGCCCTTTGGCATATGAGGAACTGCATCCTGCGAAAACAATACAAAATACAAAAGTAAAACCTCTAGATATTTGAATAGTGATCTATTTACGTGCGAAGTTAACAGACTGAAAAAGTTGTCATTGCCATGATTTAGGCAGCAGTTCAACACAGACGAATATGGAAACATCCATGGGTTATGCAGCCAAGTCAAAATGAGGTTCTTGCTGAGAGCTAGTTTGACTTAACAATTTAAATATCAATGAGTTACCTTTAAGAGAAGTATAGAGGACTTGACATTAGTTTCCCATAGCTTGTCGAGAATAGCCTCTTCAGTCTCCAAAATGGTCTCGACAGATGGATTGACAGCAGCATTACTTACAACAACATCTATTTTTCCGTATCTCTGAGATCAAAGCACCAAGGTTCAGTCAACCAACCAAATGCCATTGACCCAAAGACGAGTAAATTTATAAGCGAAACATAATAAAATTACTGACAGAAACAAACAATACAGCTATAGAAGATTATTTGCTGAAACACATGATGAAACTAACAATTTCCTTGGCCATGTAAAAGTTCACCATCAATGTTAGCTGTCACGATGGTGACAGATCCAACAATTTCCTCAAAAGATATAATTGGGTTTTGATCTATAACTTGACAAACTTCCTCCACTACTCAACTATTTTTTTTTCTCATTTTTTGATCATTGGAAGTGATGTCGAAAAAGAGAACTTGGACCTGATTTTGCCCGATTGAGAAATGCACTTACCACAAACTAACTTACAAGTATGACTCACTAATTTTCAAACAACAAGAATAGAGTAAGCTTGCTATAAAAAAGCATCAAATGAACAAATTAACCAGAATTGGGCAATGAATTGTCCAATTTTATGGTCATGGAGCTCACTAACCATGAGACTAATTCGAAGTTACCCTTTATATAATGTTCCCTAAAACCATAGCACCACATAAATTCCGAAAACTTTGCGTACTTCATGCATCAAAAGTTTCTCACCTGAATACTTCTGTCAATAAGGTTCTTTCTCTGTTGAGCATTCGACACATGACAAACGACTCCAATCGCTTTTATTCCTCGAGCTTTGAGTTGTTCAACAGCTTCATCAACGTTTTTCTGCACCACATAAAAATTTTATCCCAAAACTTTTACGGGCAAAAATGAAACATCTAAACCAATCACATTCCACTGAAGATATCGTGTCAGTTCAGCTAGCAAACTTCGTATATTAGATAATGATTCATACTTACAGAAAACCCTAGAAAGAAACAAACAATTTGGAGTCATATTGAATATATACGTTCAAAGCTTAATCAAAGAACCCATACTTTCCAACCAACAAAACAGATTGAACTCGAATTGAAGCAAAATCTCATAAGCACAGGTAAATGTAACCCTCAAATCTCCAGAAAAAGATGTTTAGATCAGTAAAATCCTAAAATTCTTGTTTCACCCATTTCCTCTCAACATTTTCTCACCAGCCAAACAGCAAAAACCTAATCAGAGCAAAATTTCATAAACCAGAAAAGTTTCTAAATAGTAGATTGAGAACCTGCTTTCGAGAGGAGATGATAACAGAGGCACCTTCCAAGCCAAGCCGCTCAGCAATTGCGAAACCGATCCCCTGAGTTGACGCAGTCACGAGTGCAACTTTCCCTTCAAATCTCCTTCCGAAATTCTTTTCCCTTTCCATTTTCGACATGTACGTGCAAGAAATTACAATCGAAGGAAAAACAATGAGTTAATTCCGACTTTCTCGATAATATCTACGAAGACGAGAAGGAGAGAAGAGTTTTTGTCTTCTTGTTCCGCGTGGACATTAATGTCCACTGAGAGAGCCCAACCTAGAAACTTAAATGCAGTCTAATCATTCAGATTACTTGCATGGATTAAATTGATTATTGTCATTTTCCTTTCCTATTTTAGTACTGGTTTACTGATCTTCTCGTGATCCTTTCCTATTCTGAATATCGGTTACTACTAAACTTTATTTGGTTAAATGTAATTATAGCGAGTTTTTGTAGTAAAAAAAATATTTTTTAGATATCAGCACGTAAATTGTTGATTAATCTCTTAATATTTCATTTAAAACTCACTAATTTTAACCTAATTATTTTAGATATATTATAAATAGACCATGACTAATTCTTAATATTAAATTCAATAAATAATTTATTTATATATTAAAAGAATTGTAGTGATTAGATTAATTTTTTTTAATTTGTTATTATACGTTAATTAAATTATTAAAAAAACACGATTTTTTATAAATTTATAAAAAATAAATATTTATTATAAAAAATATAATTTTTAATAATTATATAAAAAAATTATTTCTATTTAATTAAAAAAATATAACATATAGAAAATATATATTATTAATTTTTGTCTTACGTTAAATAAAATTATAAAGCGTAAAAATTATTCAATAATTAAAAATTATTTTTTATAGATAGAAAAACAAACATATTTTTTTATTATTACTGTATCAAAATTAGTCATAATTTTTTTAACAATTAATATCCAAGGTGCTTTTGTTTCCTCTTTCCAGAGAAGGAAACTAAAGTCTAGAGGGCATGCCACCTGCAACCACCAAAGTTTCTCCAGTAATGTAAGAAGCATCATCAGATGCCAAGAAAGCTGCAGCGGCAGCCATGTCCTCCGGGGTTCCAAGCCTGTCAAGTAAAGTCTTCTTCTCAATACCCTTCCTCTGCAAAGACATATATAAAGTTACAGACCCAATTCAAGGTCAGCCCTACCCATATCGACAGACCCAACAAGCAGAAAATCAGAATGTGCTTCCAAATAAATTTGGATCAACTCAGTAATTTCATTTAATGATCACTTCATATGAACTCTAACAACTGAATTATTCAGTGATTAGTACACAAAATAGCCGGGCTCTGAAAGAAGTTCTTACCATATCCTCACTTGTGACTAAGTACTCTGCAAAATGTGTTGCCACAAAACCGGGAGCAACGCAATTCACTCGGATATTTGAAGCCATCTCGGCTGCAAGGGCCTGAGTTATAACAAAACGAACTCGAATTTGTAGTAGTTAACAACTCAATTCAATTAAGTAAAAAGAGTGAATGAACTAGTTAAGATTAGCCAGATAAGTTAAACGCGTAACTAATAAATTAAATAAATAAAACAATCGAACATATTTTCATTTTGTATTAGATTCATAACGGAAAAAAAAAGATATATAAAATTAATAAGAGAATGAGTAGAAAATAATAAATTTTAACCTAAATCAATATATTTCTAATTACTAACTATATTTACAACCTACTAATTATATACACGCAATATAATCTCATGATGAAAGTACACAGAACTCATATCTCGTGACTCGAGATTACATTTTCGTAAAAAAAAGTACAAACACTTACTATCTAATTAAGAAATAATTCCTAAGAGTTCTAAGATAAGTATAAAAAAATGCATACTTTTAGTAAGGCCAAGAAGAGCTGTCTTAGAAACTCCATACAAAGCCAAGGGAGATTTTGGAGCAAATGCAGCAATGGAGGCAATGAAAACAATTGAAGAGCCTTTGTTCATGTGAGGAACTGCGTCCTGTAGAAAACAATATGAAAGGTGGGGGCAGACAGCAGCTGAGATCACAGCCATGGAAATCTGCTGTTTTGAATTCAAAAAAAAAAGGAAAAGGGAAATTTACCCTTAAGAGTAGTACAGAGGACTTTACATTGATCTCCCATAGCTTGTCAACAGCAGACTCTTGCATTTGTAAAATGGTACCAACAGATGGATTCACAGCAGCATTACATACAACTACATCTATTTTCCCATATTTCTGAAATCAAATCCGGGTAACTATTAGCTACTGTATTTATGAGTTTCATTATAATAAAAATAAATAGTTTGTAATCTATCTCAAAGTTCGACATAAATTGTAACGACCCCGTAAATATTAAAATGAAATGAGTATTTAAATATATCAAATGCGGAAGCGAGATCAAAATTTCAGTTAACATCCCTTACACGAAAAACCAGAAACGTACTTAAAATATAAAAGATTAAACTAACTAAGAGAGAAACTCGAAAATAAAACTATGAGTATGACTACAGAGTCTCTAGGTATCCCCTTCGTCGTCCTCCTGCGGAACGGGCTCGGGAACCATGTCTTCCTGATCTGAAATGGTTAAATAAGGAGTGAGCTACACTAGCCCAGTAAGAACATCACGATATCTCACCGTCACGGAGGTAAAGGTGGGTAGAAAAACACAAAAGACCAATGGAGCATAATTTACAATAAAACCTTTTATCAATAATGAAACTTTTACCATCCACTTACCTTGGTGGAATTTATGAAAACAATATAAGAAAATAATAACATTATCACAATCATGGAATAATATAAGCTGTAAAACATAACACTTATCACGCATCTTGTAATTCAATCATTGTACAACATATCCTTTTCTCATTTACCAGCCTACTAGTATCCGTGGGGGTCCATAGGGGTCCCGCTACCCGTTAACCTTTAACATTCATAATCAGTTTCCAGGGCCGTCCCCATACCCCGTCCGGTATGGGCGCCAAAACCATGAACCTCAATACCCCGTCCGGTATGAGGGTGAAACGGGCCGTCCCCATACCCCGTCCGGTATGGGCGCCAAAACCATAAACCTCAATACCCCGTCCGGTATGAGGGTGAAACGGGCCGTCCCCATACCCCGTCCGGTATGGGCGCCAAAACCATAAGATCTCCATACCCCGTCCGGCATGTGAGACCACAATCCCGGTAGGGTTCCCTACGGACCCGGTCCGTCCACCATCTCCCAGGATATCTAGTCAGGCTGACCCCATCATACAATTATCAGTCTATACAATGTTTCATTTTCCTTTTCCTCAATCAACATCATCAATTCACATTTAAACAAGCAAATCATAATTCATACCAACAGACAACATACAGTATCAGTTCTTCAGTCTTTCAACCCATAATTAATAAAACAGTAATATATGCACTCGAAACTATAAAATGAACAAATCAAACCTCATAATGCATTTAATGCTGTAAAACAGGCCAAATAACAGTAAATCATAAATCACACTAGACTCGGGCTCCATTAGCAACCTTAAGCAGTTTCACACAATTCAAGGAATACCGTTTTATCATTTTGAACTTTAATACCGTGATAGGAAATAGGGTGAGGGGTCCTTACTTGTTTTCGAGATCCGAATACGATTCACAGTGCGCCTGCAGGCCTTCCCTAATTTTCCCTGAATTTTTCCCGGGGAACTGAAACACACTAACAGTACCTGCACGTGTTCCAAAAAAAATCCAAATTAGGCCCAGGGCCCCTTTCGGACCAAATCGCAACTCCGGCACGGCGGCTCCGCCGTGCTCCGGCGACGGCGCCGCCGCTGGCGGCGGCGAGTCGCCTCGGGTTGACTGTTTTCGGCCATTTTCGGCCGAATTCGGCCACACTCGCATTGGTCCTTGTCAGAAAACAGCCCTAGGGCCCTCGGGGGGCCAAAAAATCACGGAAAAACGGAGCTTACCGGCGGCGGCGCTCTCGGGTGCAGCGGCTCTCCGGCGAGGTTCGTGTTTTGGTGATTCGGCTCCGGTCAACCTGTAGAGAAAAGAATGGTGATCACGGTGATATAAAAATTGCATCGAACGGAGGCCGGGAAGGGCCTCGTCGGAGGCAAAAACCGAGAGGGGGCGCGGCGGCGCCGCTGGGCTTCGGCCGCGTATTCCGGCCGTTTGGCCGGGATTTCGGTTTCGATTTGGCCATAGGAGGAATCAGTGGGGAAAAACGAGTCGGGAGTATGAAATTTACCTCGATCGGCGGTCAGAAATTTCCCCGGTGCGGCGGCGAGTGGCGGCGGGTGGCGGCGGTCGGCCTCTGGTTCGTCTTCTCCGGCGAGCGGCTGGCGGCTAGGGTTTGTGGTCTGGTGTGGGGGTTCTATTTATAACCCCTTGCCTTTTGATCACAGCCGTTCATTTTGTTTTAATCTGGGCCGTTCGTTTTTGATTGAATCTGGGCCGTCCGTGCGATTGAATCTGGGCCGTTCGATCGCGTGATTGATCTGGGCCGTCGGATCGCACCCACGCGGATCGCCAACGTGGCTCCTTTTGGAGTGACGCGGTCTTGCCACGTGGCAGGCCCTGGTTGGCCGGGACTGCTGACTGGGCCTGCTGACGTGGCTGCTGACGTGGCCGCCCTCTTTTTTTTTTTTTTTTTTTTTTTTTTCTCCTCCTTTCCGGGTGCTACAACTCTCCCCCCCATAAAGAAATTTGGTCCCCAAATTTGCCTCATTACTCTTGATCAAACAGATGAGGATATTGGGCCCTAAATTCTGATTCCAGCTCCCAAGTCGCCTCCCTAGGCGTGTGGTTCTGCCACAAGACTTTTACAAATGATATTTCCCGGTTACGGAGTATTCTGCTTTCTCGGTCCGTGATACTGACCGGTACTTCTTCATAAGACAAGTCCTCTCGGAGTGAGAGCGGTTCATGAGCCACGACATGAGAAGGGTCCGGATTGTACTTGCGCAGCATAGATACATGAAACACATTGTGAACCCGGGAGAGCTCAGGGGGCAGTGCAAGTCTGTAGGCGATGGTACCAATCTTGTCTAAGATTTCAAAGGGTCCAATGTATCTGGGGTTTAATTTTCCCCTTCTGCCGAACCTACTAATTCCCTTGAAGGGGGTGACTTTAAGAAACACCCGGTCACCTTTCTCAAAGGCCAGGTCCCTCCTTCGGGTATCAGCATAGCTCTTTTGCCTACTCTGAGCTGTCTGGATGTTCTTCTTGATCTTAACTATCTTGGACGTGGTTTCTTCCACCAAATCCGGGCCAAACAATCTTCTATCGCCCACTTCCTCCCAACAAATCGGTGACCTGCACGGACGACCGTATAGCGCCTCGTATGGGGCCATGCCGATGCTTGCTTGGTAACTGTTGTTGTAGGCAAACTCTATCAGGGGTAGGTGGTCGTCCCAATGGCCTCCGGAGTCAAGGACACAAGCTCGGAGCATATCCTCCAGCGTACGGATTGTCCTCTCTGATTGTCCATCGGTTTGGGGGTGGAAGGCAGTACTGAGGGACAGCTTTGTTCCCATAGCTTGCTGGAAACTATTCCAAAACCGAGAAGTGAATCTGGGATCCCTGTCGGATACCACTGTTACTGGGACCCCATGCAGTCTGACTATTTCCCGGACATACATTCTTGCCAACTTGTCCAACGAATCAGTCATTCTGATGGCCAGGAAGTGGGAAGACTTAGTGAGTCGATCAACAATTACCCATATGGCATCGTGTCCCGATCGTGCCTTGGGTAGTCCCGATACGAAGTCCATGGTGATGTGTTCCCACTTCCATTCTGGAATCGGTAAAGGCTGAAGCAACCCCCCTGGGCGTTGATGTTCTGCTTTGACCTGCTGACATACCAAGCACTTAGATACAAAGTCGGCTATATCTCTCTTCATCCCATTCCACCAGAATCGGGGTCGCATAGTTTGGTACATTTTTGTACTTCCTGGATGCATGGCGAACCTTGAACTATGGGACTCTGTCATGATGTCTCTTTTTAATTCATTGTCGTCTGGGACACACATTCTGTCCTTGAAACGAATCAATCCGTCGGCAGAGATCTGAAATTCTGAGTTCACTCCTTGTTCTGCATCCTTCTTGCGGTTTACTAGGGCGGGGTCGATTGACTGGGCTTCCTTTATTTTTTGGATTAACTCGGGTTGGACTGCTAGGTGGCTCAAACATGTGGCCCTCTTCAGATCTTGCAGTCGAACCTGCTGCGTAGCCCCAATGGACCTGCATTCTGAAACCATCAGATGGGCTAGGGTGCCTGCACTCTTCCTACTGAGGGCATCGGCTACTACGTTGCCCTTACCTGGATGGTATAGGATGTCACAATCATAGTCCTTGAGGAGTTCCATCCACCTTCTCTGACGCATGTTGAGATCCTTCTGAGTGAAGATGTGCTTCAAGCTCTTATGATCGGTGTAGATCTGAAAGGTCTCTCCATACAAATAATGGCGCCAGATTTTCAAGGCGTGTATGATTGCGGCAAGCTCCAAATCATGGGTAGGATAGTTCTTCTCATGATTCTTTAGCTGTCTAAACCCATATGCTATAACCTTTCCATGCTGCATCAGGACACAACCCAGGCCCAGATAGGAGGCATCACTATAAACTGTATACCCTCCTGATCCACTCGGTAGAGCCAGCACGGGTGCAGTAGTCAGTCGCTTCTTCAACTCTGAAAAACTCCTTTCGCAGTTCTCATTCCAATCAAACTTTGCATTCTTCTTTGTGAGTCGGGTTAGAGGGGCCGCTAGACTGGAGAACCCTTCGACAAACCGGCGGTAATAACCCGCCATCCCTAGGAAACTGCGAATTTCCTTAACTGTTGTCAGCCTTTTCCAACCAAGTACCGCTTCAACCTTTTCGGGGTTCACCGACACCCCTTCCTTCGATATAACATGTCCTAGGAAGGCGGTTTGCTCGAGCCAAAATCCACACTTGCTCAACTTTGCATACAACTTCTTTTCCCTGAGTACCTGGAGGACTTGGGCAAGATGATGAGCATGTTCTTCTCTACTTTTTGAGTAGATTAAGATATCATCGATGAACACGATGACAAATTTATCCAAGAACTCTCTGAAGATTCTGTTCATTAGATCCATAAAGATGGCCGGGGCGTTGGTTAGCCCAAACGGCATAACCAGGAACTCATAGTGTCCGTACCTGGTTCGGAATGCCGTCTTGGGGATGTCTTCTGCTCTCACTTTTACCTGATGGTAACCTGATCGTAGATCTATTTTAGAAAAGACCTGTGCACCCTGCAACTGATCGAAAAGGTCATCAATCCGGGGGAGAGGATACTTGTTTTTAATTGTTACCTTGTTTATCCTTCTATAATCAATACACAGCCTCAACGTTCCATCTCCTTTCTTTGCAAAAGTAACCCCGGCACCCCATGGGGAAATGCTGTGTCTAATGAAGCCACTGTTTTGTAGCTCAGTGATTTGTTTCCTTAGCTCTTCCATCTCGATGCGGCTCATTCGGTAAGGAGCTACCGAAATGGGTTGGGTTCCTGGCTGTAAGTCTATGGTGAACTCGACCTCTCTGTCCCCTGGTAGACCGGGCAGTTCATCCGGAAATACGTCTGGAAAGTCTCGGACTACTGGAATCTCTTGGATACAAACTTCCTTCTTGGGTTTACCTAGTTAGGGAAAATACAATATCAACGTACTGGGAATTAAGAAGAAAAGAATTTGTCATTAGGGAGAATCAGTACCGAATAATTTTATTAACTTGTAAATGGCTCCTCGTTGGGAGGATTAAATACAATCTTTTTATTAAAGCAGTCTATGGTGGCGTGATACGCCGCCAGCCAATCCATTCCTAGGATTACATCAAAATCCCCTGTGTCTAACCCTATCAGGTCTACCCTCAATTTCCTATCTGCTATCTCCACGGCACATGCCCTGTAGACAACCTCTCCTAGTAATGTCTCCCCCCCAGCGGTAGATACAAACAATAATGAATCAAGTCTATCAGGTGATACACAGATTTTGGAAGCAAGAACATGTGAAATAAAAGAATGTGATGCACCAGTATCAAACAAAATATGAGCAATGTGGCCAGAGATAGTATACATACCATGTACCACGTCCGGGTCTGCATCGGCATCCTTCTGGGTAAGGTTGTAAACTCTGCCCTGGATTGGAGGCCTCCCTTGATTCTGGTTCCTAGGGCACTCCCTCGCATAGTGCTGGGCACTGCCGCATATGCGACAGGTGTTGTTGAGGCGGTAGCAGGGTCGGTCCCCATGATCCCTACCCCAGTACTGGCAGATCTTCCCACGAGCTGCCCCCATAGCCTGAGGAGGGCCTTGAACGGCAGGCCTGGGTCTCTTACTGGGTTGGACAGGCATGGTAGGCGCTGGCCTGCGGAGCGGGGCTGAAGGTCGGGAAC